GACAGTGACAAAAATACCTGGTACTTGCTTGTACTATGATCTGTATTAGTCATTCGTAACCTGGACATGAAAGGGTATTTCCACATTTAACCGCACATTTCCACATTTTACTCCTTTAAAAAAAATATAGCGAATTGATGTAAAAAAGTGTTAATGCTTGGGGAAAAAATATCAGAAAATTAGATTAGAATTTTATACTTTTGGAGAGGTAAAACAGAAATTATATTTTATATACCAATACAACCTATCTTTAGCGCTTATCATTTAGATAACAATTTGTATGAGCTATAAGCACATGAATAGAGCAATAAAAGTGTCATTTATTACATAAATCTAAAACAAAAACTACAGATGTGAATGGGTTATTATTATCATTATATCTAAAGGCATTTTGTTTTGCTTGAAAGTTCCATGTCTTTGATTTTCTTCAAAATTTAAGACTTGACACTTTTCCCTTGTTAAAAAACATTTAATATTTACATGCTATTTTGCACATGAACATGCATTTTCTGTTAAAAGTACAAACAGAATGATGTGTCATATTAGAACAAAGACCTTTTTTAATTTCTTTTCTTAACTTTTGAATCGAAACTAAGTTGATCAGTTTGAACATGATAATGGTATTTCTGTTATTTTATTTTATTATTATACAGTTTCAGATTACACAGAGTATATTTACTTAATAACCGTTATGTTAATTTTATTATCTTGAAACCATACCAATATTTATTTTTGCAGTAAGGCTTAGAACGTCAATAAAATGCAAATATACATTAAAAATACAAGATGAATAGTTACTAAAAAAATATTTTTTTAAATACAATCTAGAACGTTGTGGTCTCTATCTATAAATCTTATCAGGCTTTATTTAGATTTACATGGTATTAACTCAGATAGAATTGCATGAATATTAACTCTTGCTTATGAGTTTCATAAATGTGTATGTAAATCGTCAAATAACTTTTTAATAATTGATTTCCTCATGCCTCTACCTCTGAAAAAAATTGCTATCTTGTAAGTGGCGTAATCTTAGCCAATACATTAAGATCAAGTTCACCTTTATTATTCAGTAAGGAATTTATTATATTGCAAGATGATGTAATTACAACGTTAACGCAAGGTCCATTTATTTTCGATAAATTTGCTTTATTTATGTCATTGATTCTGATGACATATATGCGTAAAGGTATATTATATAAACTTGAGCGTTAGGAATATAAAATGAAAAATAGACCTTGGATATATATTTCTATTCTTTGAAGACCTTTATTAAGTAGAACATTGTTCCGATGTTCAAGCCATACTTTATTTTGATTAAACAAAGGATATGATCCAGGCTCTTGGTATCGAAATGTAGTTTATCAAGAATTTTATTCGACCACTTATAATAAAAAAAATCAAAACTACCAAAATCCAAGGTTAATACTTGAGTAGATACTTCGTTATATTATATGATTAAAGGCAAAAGCATGCATCCTGATCACATTTCGTTTAATACTTCATATTAAAAGAAAATATTGTTGGCCTACGATGATCTTTTTTTAGGTGTTACACTACGCTACGATCTAGGTTACAAACAGTCTAAACTATCTCATTTAAGAGGAATTATATAGTACAAAGGGTATTTAAATGATGCATCGCATATTTAAACACCACCCAGTTCGTGTCATAAGACTTGCAAGGCTGTTTTTTTTTTTTTTGTTTTTTTTTTGTATTTTGTTATGTTGTTTACCATTTAAAAATTATTTTCGAAATTGATTGAATGTGTAGGAATAAGTTTACATTATTCAAAACGCAATTAATTTCTGGATAAAGAGAATTTCATGCACAATAAATAAGTAGGATGAAGGTATTTTGAACTACACTACGTCAAAACAAAATTAAATTGGTATATATACTAAAAAAAAATTACAATACAATCACTATTTCATGACAGTAGATAACCATACATACACGTTCTCATAAACTTAGAATAGATTTTATATGAAATCCCTTTTTAACATTATTTTATAATTCTTTCATAATTCCTCATCGGTGAAACCGGAGGGGACTATAGATTTCCTCCACGTCTATCTATCTGTCTGGCTGTCTGTCTGTCCTTCTGTCTTTGCAGCTGTCAGTCTCTCCCACTTTCTTTTTTGCACATTTTCTAAGCGCGGAAGAAACTGATATGATTTTGGAATGTGAGTATAACTTGATGAGTTACTTATCAAGTTTGCACTTCGATGATTTTTGATGATTGTATGGTTCTTTTTTTTAAAACATATTCGGATTTCCCACTTGGATTCTTTGCACTTTTCTCCAAGCGCTTGTAGATATTGAGCTAGTATGTGAGTGAACCTTGTTGAGTAGTAGATCAAATTCATATTTTGTTCCGCTTTTTGATGGAATTTTAGCCTTTTCTTCAATTTTAAGGGGAACCAGATTTCACTTGGCAATAGGGGACTAGTTTTGTTTATGCAATACTTCCAGTGTGTTTGCTGCACATAAAGAGAAATCTGATGGAACACGATTGACTAGTATTTATAAAGATAAAAGTAGTTTTTCAAGATTGTGGTAAACAATTGCCAATATTGTGTGCATGTAATTATTTTTTTTAATTAGAAATATATATATATATATATATATATATATATATATATATATATATATATATATATATATATATATATATATATATATATATATATATATATATATATAAATCTTGATTTTCCCTCGTCACCTTTATTGAAAGACAAATAAATCTTTCACCTAATGCTATTATTATCTCTACACAATCAATCTTAAGCAAACATGTTAACACAAAACTCGCTTTTGTTTAGTACAGAATTGTACCAAACTGTACATTATTTTATTAACAGCTGACAACTTTCTTAAAAAAAAAATAATACTACCAACATAAAGTTAGTTAATGCAATCTAAAGCTCTACAATTCCAACTTGTTACCTTATCTGCCTCATATTTCCTTTTTTCCGAAAAAGAAACTGTTTTCACATAATTCTATTTAATCATGTTCAAAACATCTAAGGTATCTTGTTTTATGGCCAAGAAGGACAAAGTGTCTCAGAAAATGATAAACAGGCTTTTAAAAAGACCTACAACTGACTATGAATCAGGGCATTCCTGAAAACCCTACATCATATAGTATGGCATTACTTATACTGCTTTTATAAAAGTATAATAATAATCAAAGTTCTTTTTTTTCATAAAGTTTGCAGCTGTGCTTGAATTTAAATAAGGGATGTCAACGAATATTCAAACATTCGAATATTCATTCGATGAGTTAATACTTAGTTATAAATTCAAGATTCGAATATTCTGTGGTTTTCAGATTTCATAAAAAAGGTAACAAATTTTAATTAGAACAGAGCTGGAATTATCTCCGTTTTATTTACTAGCGATCCCCTGATTTCTTTCGCTACTTTCTTATCTTATCAATCTTTAAAATCATTTCATTTTGAGTAAGGTATAAAAGAAATACACAAGAATTATTAATGTATAATACAAAAAGTAATTTCAATAGTTTTATATCATCGGAACTAGAATCGAGGACAACGAAATGAAACCCTTCTTGAAAGTCTAAGAGTCGAAGAGTGTACTTAGGAAAATAAATTTTATTGATCATTGAATTACATCTTTGATAGAATCAGTCTGTAATATTGTAAAGGGCTCAATTTCAAAATAATGCATCAGTTACTTGTTTATCTCGGATTGAATATTAATTAATTAAAATTTTAAAATCATTATCGGGAAATTAATGACCTAGGAAAATCGTTTATGGAAGTGTTTGCTTATATTTTCCAAACATTTTATCAAAGGTTATTAAGCAGATAATTGTAAGTCCCTGCATGTCTGGACGACTGGTTCGTCAGTTTGAGCATGTATAATTTGTTAAAATTCTATTTCGGTTGTATACATTTATGTCAATTATTTATTATATATATTGAAAAATATGAAATGTAGAATAAATACTGTTTGTTATCTCCATATATTTCAATTATTGTGTACCTACAGCAGTCTACATCCAATTTTACTTCCAAATGCCGAAAAAAAACCTGCCATGAAAGTATGATGGTGTACATTTAAAATAAACCATATTTTATTTATCGAATATTCGAATATATTCGAATACTTTCATTGAATATTCGAACATGAATTGCCAAAATTGACATCCCTAGTTTAAATAGATTTGTTAAGTGAAAAGAAAGTGAAACGAGTAGTGAATCATGATCAATACTTGTTATCTGCTTATGACTCTCAAAATTTATTACTGATACGGAAAAGTGAATCGATTTTCTATCAATTATGTATGCATTTGAATTTAAATATTATAGAAAACAAAAGCAGTCATCTATATCCTTGTATATACAATTTCATCAGCTAAAGCCTATCCTGCTTAAATTTCAAAAAAAAAAAAAAAAGAAGAAGTGTCTGTTTTATAATTTAATCAATTGAAAGACAAAAAAGTATAAGTACCTATAATTTTGATAGAAAAAATAATATATTAACTTCTGATTATGGAACGTTTAGAAAAGAATCTGTTAACTCAGTTTACTACATTTGATGCGAGTGGTTAAAGAATAACCGCTGGTTGACGCTATGCAAAATACCTTTTCAAGTAGTTTTATGAAGTTTAATTATAGATAAGCAACTTTTTCTTCCAAAAGATGTTTTTATTTTATCCAGTTCCTGTTATAGAGTTTTACATGTATTTGAGGATAAGATAATGTTTCTCATACTGCATAGCGGGAACGTTTAGCTATGTACCGACATAAGCTTATTTAAACTGTTTTGAAGTAGCCCGCTGATAAAATTTCAATCGCTAATTTCCATTCTTGCTTATGAGTAATGAATAAACAAAAAAAGAGATATGTTTGATTTTAAACAAAATAACTTTTATCTACCATTGCTTTCTACACAAACTCTTGACAAAATCGGTTTTCAGAGGTTTATTAAACTCACACAGAGATAAATTTCAATTGTTTTACAATGTCAAAAAAGTTTCACAAAATCATTTGCACATCTTTTAGAAAGTAAAACGTCAAGCTTTACTTCCGCTTAACAAACCCACTATACGATAGCATGAAGAAAGTTGAAATACCAATATAATACAAAAGGTCATATTTTTTATTGAATATAGTTCGGCACAATTAAAAAATACAAATACTAGTCATTTAGATATTTGAGTGTAAATATGGTATATAACAGTGTGTTCATGTAGATAATAAATGCAACACAACACATCATTAGCTGCCATTTTATCGAATCTTTATCAATAACAGATGTGGACATACAACATGTGGATCAGACATTGCATGTGACACTAAGTTATTGGTCTTTTGACGACGCTTCTACGTAAATCAAACAATGTTCTGTAGGTTCTTCTTTTAGTGGTGTGTTTTCAATGTCCTTATTCGTGCTTTCTTTTGGGTTGGATCCTGAAAAAATTAAATCACACAATTCAAAAAGCTTTGACATTTATATTTATGAATGAGAAAGGAATTCAATCAATTCCATCACATGATATTGACAAATAATGTTTGAAAAAGAGCAGTCAGCAAATCTTACGTTTTTGTTTTGCCCTAAAGCTACACCTCTGTAACATGAAATCTGAAAATTTACAAAGCAAGGTTAATTTTAAACAAACTGAATTATAATCATTATGTTTCATACAATTTCTTTCGAAAATGAAATACATACATGTATATAATGCATTTAAAGGAGCAACGTAAAATCTGTACATACCTCTTATAAAGAAATGTTCTTTCGTTGAACAATGTGCCAAACATATGAGAATAAAAACTATAACTGCAACAATACCAAAGCTGATAGGGATGCTGCAAAATTTAAAATATATATTTTCTTTGTTTGATATTTGAAAGAAATCTTATAATATGTTTTCTTTTCTTTTTGGTTTTAATGTAGAGGATGTCCTCTATATAAACAGAAAAACATAATCAATTACATAAGCTTGGTATCCAGCTCCCAGCTTCGTTCTTGATGGTTTGACTTCAGTTTCTGATTCAATGATGCTGTTGGTTTTATACTTTCTGTTTTAATAGTGGTTTCCACAGTGGATGGCGTAGTAATGGCTAAATATCTGCTTCTGTTACGTGCTGTGTAAACTAAGTCGTAGCACTCAGAATCTACACGTAATAGAGAAGTAAAAATTGAATTCAGAGTTTTAGTTTTTGACTACAGTTTATCCTGTTTTTCTTATCATTAAATGGGTCATGGGGTGATATTATTAATATTCAATAATCCAGTAGTGATATTTTATATAAACAGGGATTCAGAGACTTTATAAAAACCTATTAAAATACATGTGTGCTAAGCGGAAGATGTTATACTGAAATAGTTTTCCTCTTTCGATGGTACTATTCATTTTTCTTTTCTTTTTTTTATTTTCATTTTTGGGACAATACTACCATAAATGCAATGAAATTGCAAAGAACTTCGTACATAATTTCAAAGTAATACTTACAATTATAGCTCTTGTTAGATAAATAAACTTCTGGACAACTTTGACATGTTGCATTATAGTTGCTCTGTATTCTGGATCCACCGAAACTGAATTCTGCGCACACATTTCCTGGTAACATTCAAAGTACAATTAAGTTGTTGCATAAAAAAATGATATATTATCATTATTAGTATAAATTGACAAAGTCAAGTGATTTCATACAGCGGCTCTTACCAATTATATTTCGAATCGGTGCACACACTTCTACCGTTTCATTGATCCAAGCATTTATAACACAGTGGTATTCAAATGAGGTACAATTTTCAGAAAACTTAATGTTTTGGCAGCCTTTCCTTGATGCTGCTTCTTTCCAGTCCTCAGCTGATTTTGGGCAAGTGTCTACATGTACTGCAGTTTGTTTTGATTCTTTGCATTCTTTGTCATCAAGTAAATACACATATTCCTATAATATACATATTCCTATAATATATTAGTGATATATGATCAATGAAGAAACGTCGAAATACTTTTGCTTATCGAAAAAGTTGCCGTTAAATAAAATAAATTTTATAATTAATTTCTATATATTTACTTGATTTTGCAAGTAACGATATCCAATGCAAGCTATATGTAAAATACAACTGTATTTTTTCAATAGAGACAAAATTTATACCTGATTAATAGCTATAATATAATTGAATGCAATCTTACCGTTGATACTGTAAGCAGAACAAACGCAGTTACCATTGTAATAAATAGTGTGCAATCCATTTCCATCCTTTGAATTGTGAAGAAGAATCCCCTGGGAAAATGAAATAATTATCACATTGCCCTTTAAATGAATATTTGAGAAAAAATGACAATTAATTAACTAGCTACATATAATTATGTAAATAGTAGAGTGCAACCTTACTTTTAAGATCATCAAGCGTATTCCATTAAAATCTGTGGTTTAAAGAATAGATTGCTTTTATTTGACTAGCTCATCATGTAGGAAAGGTTATATAAACCAAACATATCTGGTGTCGGCAAAAGTGTCATACGTATTCTGTGTCTTGTCGGGTATTTCCATTATCTCAACATTTAAAAATAGATTTTGTGTACCTGTATAATAGAACATGTTTTTAAAATCCATGAAAACACATATCCTTTACATTAAAATTAGAAAACCCTTAACAGTGTGATTCATATTTGATATATACAATCAGCTATTTATCAATATTTCAGTTGAAATGTCTAAATTAAAAGAATCTTTTTCAAATATATCCACAGAACATTAACAGGGTGCTGATCTCTCAAATTAGGGACTCTGACGGCCCAAAAGTCTTTCATATATAACTCTTCAGTGATCAATATTTTGTTATAAATTACTGAAGCAAAAATGCTCGTAAACATGGATTATGAAATGTAATATGAAGATAACGAACAGTATTCAATCTCGAAAGTCCAATGAAACGATAAAAATTTGGAGCAGAGCAAACACGGACCTAAAAATTTCGAAGTGGGATCAGGTGCCATGTAGGAGTGAGCATCCCCCGCCGACCAGTCACACCTACCGTGTGCTCCTTGTCATGATCAGGAATCAAACACCGGAAAAATCCGTAGACAGATCAGTGTATAAATAATGAGCTAACAATAAGTATGAAAAACGTCGGTCAGCATTTGACTCAATGATAGGTTGTTTGTGCAGACAAGGTCATTGAATCGACCGAAAAACTTGCGAAAAGATGACTTCAAACGAGACTGTTGATATCCTTGTTTCGTCAACTAGTTTGTGAATAGCTTGCCTTGTTTTAGAAATTGTTCATGCCTGGAGCATGCTCTTGTGTATTGAATCAACTGAGAGACATGAACCCCATATGCAGGTGATAAGGGAATATTGCTACAAAAGTAAGGGAAGTTGACGATTGAATAGTTGAAGTCATCACGTTTGTCATTAAGCTTTCTTGTTAGGTTACCATTAATGTCTTTTTCTAGTATTATCTAAATATGAAACAGATGTGTCAGAATATGTGGTATCTTTACTTTCAAGCTCACTGTGATATATCGAGTCGACATACGAATGAAAGTAACTATTGTCAAATGATAATACGTCGTCGATATATGTCGAGTTGAAGGTCACAGCAAGTGTTTTCTTCTCCTCATGTAGAAGTTTTTGAATAAATTCTGCTTCATATGAATACAAAAATAGGTCTGCTAATAAGGGGGCGCAATTGGTACCCATGGGGGAAAAGTTTTGTAATAATTACGTAATAAGGGGCCTAAAGGGACCGGAATGCTAAATTTATGACGCTTTATATCTGTGAAAGGGGATATATTTTGAAAAGTAATATTGATTTAAAATTTTCAGAATAATGTTCTTAATAGTATGCACCCTTTCGATTTTTGCAAAACGGCACCTTTAAGGACTCGAAGGGCTGGCCCCTAAATATTTCTTCTCTATATATCTCGAAATCGAAAAGAAACTTCTGAATAGTTGTTGAACATAATGTCTTTAATATCACAAGACTTTTCAAATGATATAAAAAAAAAGAGGCTGACCCCTCTAATTAGGAACTCAAAGGGGCCATAAATCTTTCATCGTTAACTCTTTCACGATAAATATTTTGTTATAAATTACTGGGGCAAATATGTTCTTCTTAACAATCTACAACTTTTGATGATATATTTCATAATAATGGACCATAAGTGGCCAGAATGCTAAATCTTTGACGCTTTATATCCCGAAAAGGGGGAATTTTTTGATAAGTAATATTGAACAAAAGATGTTCAGAATAATGCTCTCAACATTATGCATCCTATCAATTCTTGTAAATTGGTCCCATTAAGGTTTTGAAGGCCTTGCCTTTAAATATTCTCCACTTCAATTCTCGGAAACAAAAATAAATTTGTTAAACTAAAAATGTTCCAAATCATGATACCTTTCGGTTGATATCAAGAAAAAGATGCTGACACCTCAAATCAGGGGTTCAGAGGGACCGAAGGATTTTAATGTACAATTGTTAAATAATCAATGTTTAGTATACATCGGTAAAATAAACATGTTCATTAGAAATATCTCTGTAGCTAGTTATTCGTTTATATCATGTAACGTTATAAGAAGTCTTTAGAGGAAACGCGCTAAATTTTTGTTTCTTTAAGTCTGGTAATCTTAATATCTCAATGTCAATGTCAAAATCGTATCTCGTCTGATCAAATATCGGACGGAAGACCTTCTCAATGTTCTTACAAGACCTTATCTAGTTATTTATCTATTTTCATTAATTTTCATGAATTCAAATAATGTAGAACATAACAGGGAAAAAATCTCGAGCAATTATTATTTTTTTTTTTTGCCAAAAATAAATAAATAAATAAATAAATATACAAATCAAAACATAGGAAAGCGAGAATAGGAGAAGTCCGTCTTACATGCTTATATTTTTTTTTCCTGGTAAGTGGCATAATTACATTAATTTATGTATTTAAATGATAAACATTAAATTCTTATTGTTTATCAAGGTTTAAATCACTATCGCGATGCACAAAAATAGAGAAATTTAAGCAAATGAATTTTTGCATAGATAGTACCAGCATTCTCTATGGAATCAGAAAGGGCAAAGATGCAAATATTTTTGCATAAAGCAAAAAAATCTTAATAAATGGGTAAATACACAACGAAAAGTAAATGTACATTGATTATTTGTTTTTCAAATGGAACAAACATGATCGTAATGAGTAAACAGGATGTGCCTTTTTATGCAAAATAGTTCTTTCTTAAACGTCAGCTGGATTTAGTTTCTCTTTGTGTTGCCACTGACAGGATTAACATTTGTTTTCATTTCTATTGAAGCCACGGCTTAATAAACTAAAGAAAAAAATTAACATGAAAATGGAACAATTCAGTAAAAATCCGAAGAATGGAATAAAATATCGTTTACGCAACTCTGTTCTTACAGATGAAGTATTGCGTTGCACACAATTAAGAAGCATCTATATAATTTGAGAGTATGATTATCTTAATTTAAGTCAGAAAATGGCTTTACTTGAGTAAGGCTAAGAATAACTATCCTGTGTCAATAAATATTTCTTATTCATATTTCACACCTTTACATTATAAAACGTTGTATCTCAGATACGTACTTATGTAGGTCAGTCAAAGAAAAACGTAATAAATACATGGACATTATGTAAGACTCAACCAGTTGTTTCCAGTGCATGGGAAATATATGCTTTCTTTCCGGTTTTCTTAGGCCTATAGACTGATTAAGAAATGCTGATTTAAACATTATAATTGATATTTGTGCATACTTACCACTGTTAAGGCATACTATGAAGAAATCAACAGAATATGCAATGTAGGTGTGCATAAAAGATACCTTTTCAAACTGAATTTATTTTTGTAAAGCTCGTATATTATCCCATGACTTTAGTATTAATTGAAATAACATAGTATACCCCACTCTGTATTGAATCTAGTTTTTCACCTTATTTGACAGGTACGTGATAAATGCATATAATGTTAACTGCATGGAGTTTATAAATAATTTTCAATATCGCAAGGACATACGCTAGTTCAAATTAAAAGTTTAAAAGAGAAATTATTTCTACATATCTTGTGGATTCTGGAAAATGCTGCTACTTAAAATAGAATTTGCATTTTATTAGTTTAAATTTCAAGAAATTAGACTCAAGATGAAATGTTTGTGACATTTACTAAGTATTGCATGCACTTATTAAGTAACGCTCTCGAATTCGGGAAAGCAGCAGCACTTTTCAATTTAAGGAATATTTAGTTTATGCGTATTAAAAAAAACTGGTCAATATTTATTAAGGGTATGCACTTGCAAAAAGGCGATTTAATAAGACGCCTACTTGCAACACATGACAATCCTGTACAGAAAAACACGGTAAAATAAATTCAATACATTCTCCCAAAAATTATTAAATAATGGCACTAAACAAAGGCCTAATGTTGGTATTAATGATCTATATAACAACTTACTGTAAATAATATTCTGTTTAATAATAAATTACATTTTCATCGTAAAAAAATTACTTGATCAGCCACTCACTCCACATAAAATGCAGCATATTTTACCATGATGACGTCATGTCGACAAGTGCATTGTGATCTGTGACTTTTACGTCTATGCTTATGCCTTGCTGTGCAGGATATAACTAGCGCCAAAAATGATTCCAGTGGTAAGTTTTCATGTAGTTCATTACACTTATACAGTTTATAATAGCAAATTAATTCAATTTCTGGTATTTTGAGGATTTGCTGTTTTTGTGTGATGTCACAGTAAACTTTTCCTATATACATGTAGATTAGGTCCTGTCTCCTTTATGCAGCCTTATTATTTATAGAAAATATTTTTATATCTTCTGACATAAGCGCAAAATATACCAATCTTTTGAAACTGCTCAAAACAGTTTGGAGTAAACTTGCTTGATTTCTTTTTTAATACCAGCTCATTTGTCCTTGATTTTGATTAATGGATTGTAGTAATTTGAACACTTGTTTTTATCACTCGATCTTCCTTTATCCAACTACACTTTTAACCTTGTTCACAGTGAGCTTTATACTTGCAAAATTAGACAATTGTTAATTGCTATGTCTTGGTCCCCATCCAAGATTAATTCCCGATTGTCGAAATCAGACTTTTGAGAAGAAATTTCGAACACAATTATAATTTGCACTAGTATGAGTCATCAAGAGCACCCAGTCACTGAGAATTGAATATGGGGATTCTCCGTAACGATCCCAAGTGGCTCCAATGGAGGATTTAAATTACGGAAACATCTATTAAATGCTTATCATGATTTTCTTTTACTTTTTCAATTCAAATCATTTCACAAAGAAAACCTAGTTATAGGTCACCAATTTAAGTTCCAAAACGCATTCAGTATCAATATGTAAAAAAAAAAAAAAGCAAAACTGATATAAATGATACTGGATATCTTTGTAAAACTTACATTTAAATTATTGCAGGAATTGTTAACAATTTAACTGCACCTTCACGTGATTACATGAATCAAATATTTCAACTTTAATTTATTATCAGTCCATATTTTTATGTTGCTCTCAATTTCATGGATTTTTATATATATATATACTTTTGTATAAATTTGTATCCAAAGGATATGAACATACATATATGCTCTCTTGTTTTGAGTTAAGAAACAATATTTCTTCTAGCATTTCGCTTACGGTAACAAATGTTTTGCTTAATATTGTATCGTATTATGTGATTTTGATTCATTCTCTGTATGTTATCCCCTTCACGCTATGCTTTGAATCTCTTCCTTAGATAAAAACCGTGCTAAGATATTAAAATCTATAAATTTTGGAACATTCAATAGCAAGAAAATTACCTCATTTTCACTAGATATGCAATGACCAAAGCTCCGAGTGAAAATATTATATTGTTCTGCATTTTCAGAACTTCACAGGACTAAAAAAATCCTCAAGTGAACCTTAAATTAAGAAAAAAAAACATAAAAATGTCAAAGAACAAGGTGCCTTTATTGGTCCTGTGATTTCATGTATACTTTTTACTGTCTCATCCGAGGGAACGATCACCACTTTAAACAGTGGATTTAAATCCTCGACGTAAGGATCCCCTCCTTCGCCGCGACTCTAGAGCAAATGCTATAACCACTACTCCCCGCGGACAAAGTAAAGCATATTAAGATAAGATCATTACGTTATAGACTTTTTATCTTCAGCTATTAGGGGAGGTCTGGGAAGCAAGATTTGGTTAGAATAAAAAAAAAGTTTGTTTTTCTATTATTATTTTACAATTATTATTCTGGTACACAGACAAAAGAGTAAAGAAAGACAAACTAACATTCAGTATTTTGCACTGGAATTCATTTACTCTACATGACCTGAACAGCTGTTTGTATTTGTTATTATTTAGGAAAAAATTAGAGTCAGTTTTTTTTTTCTTTATTCTTCATGTCATTTAAGACAAAGTTGTTCAAAGCACATTTAAAAAAAACAAAAAAGTACTTGCAACACTTGCTTGCACTTTTATTTTAAACAAAAGGGCTTTATGGTTTTCTTTTTTTTATAAAATGTAGCCTCGATTCTCCCTGTGAGGTAAAACAAAAATTCCATTCCATATCGCAATAATACGATTCCTAAGCTTCCTATAATTTAGATAATGATACTTTGTTACCTCAGTGCACTTCGAAAAGAGCAATGAAAGTGACACTAATGCTTACATAAACTTGATTCGATGGATAAGTTGAAGATGATTATGTTTTTGTGTGAAGTTTTTTTTTTAATTTGATTTTTTTTTATGTTTTCTCCAAAACTTAAATCTGAATACATCACTCCAAGTTTAAAAAAAAAATATTTACATTCGCAAAAAAAAAAAAATACTATTTGTATATGGACATGCTTTAATTGGATAATATCAATAACAAATTTATTTCTTATCGGTACAGGTATTTTTTTTTTTTTTTTTTTATATTTTGAATTGAAACTAAGCTGATCAGTTTGTACATGATAGGTGTATCCCCGTTATATTCCTTTTTATTGTGCAATTACTGATTACACATAGCGCAGACACTTAATGTCAATAATATTTATTCTATCATCTTGAACAAATATCAGATATTATCTTTTTGGATGCAACTGAGAAGTTTGCCGTTTGTTGTTTTGGTCTTGCAAGCTCATCTTTAAATATTTTAACACTAGGCTATTTTTTTTTAAAATCAAAATTACTATATTTCTCTATTTTGCATTGAAAGTTTCACTTTTTACTGGTTATTATCCTACAAGTTGCATTTCGTAGCCTTTCGTTTCTTGTTAGCTTGCAATCCTTCTAAGTTCATTTCATAGGGACAACAATTTCTTTTTTCTTGTTGCATGAATTTTATTTTTATGTTTTGTTGCTTCGATCCGATGTTAACCATAGAACATGCCCATTTTTATCAACTTTGATTTTATGCACAATTATCTAATTCACAAACAGATGAAAACATTTCATAATAGAGGCGTCTGCTGTGTGTAGGGGATTTAAATGATTCATTGTATATCTAAACACTGACACTAATTCGTGACAGTAAGTGACCATTAATGCATGCAGAGCTTCTTTTCGTATAAAACATATGATATGGGGTATTTTTGTACTTCATAACTGAAATTTCCAACCGCTTAAATATTGCCAACTCGGCGTAAAACAATAGTAATCAATCAATCCATCCCATTAAGACATTTTGGTGCACGCCTACAAGAATTATAATGTAACATGTAAACGTTACAAATGTTATATAGAAATACAATAACCAGTTACTCAACCTGAAGACTATCTTAGAGTAATAGCTATTTGTTACCGCTTCTTTAACTTTGTTTTGTACGAATTCAAAAAGAAATTAGATTTTTCTTATTTTTGTAGGGTCAATTGTTTTGTGGTTTGAAGAAAATTTATTTGTTTGAGAGAATTATATCGCGAGGACGAAGTAGAAATGTCATACAAAAGATCGGCATTCTCTGCAACGTATGTGAAGGCATTACTAGATTATCGTCATTAATATTTCTAGCTTGCTCCCTCCCCCCCCCCCCCCCCTCCACCTTTTTCCCTAGAATGTATTCTTGCATTGTAATAATGGAATACAATAAAAAAAAATCGGTTAAAAAAAAAACTAGTGCATGAGTCATGATATGTGAATATAAATAATATAGAAGAAACAAGCAGTCATCCATATCCTTATACATGTAGATGCAATTTTATCATTAAATGCCTATCCCACCAAAATTTCCAAATATAAGGAGAGGTGTCTCATTTAGAAAAAACTAAAATAATAGATAGCTGTAAAATTAATGGGAGATCTAATGGATTTACTTTTTTATTATGATATGTTTGCTTATAAATACGTTTTGAATACATTTAATACCACGTACATGTACGAGGGGATACAAAAAATGCAGATTCACGCTTCGAGACAAATACACGAACATGAAGTTCAAAATATTCAAACATTTTTTTTCATTTAAGTGGTATTTTATAGCTAAAATTTCATTGTAAGAGTTATATCCATGTTAATGTAATTAAGACATCATTTTTCTAGATAAGTGAAGAATTGGCAGGGGAATTATTGTTACAACATGTTACTACATGTTTATTGGGAACTATAGATAGTACTGATATCAATATTTTTCTTGATGATACATCATTATAAAAGTGCTCTGAAGAGAGAGTTTTATGCATCTCGAAGTTAAGTATTATCGGCGACAGCACCGGATGGCCAAAGCTTGCATTTTTGATTAGACATTATAGACAAAATAATGATTTCTTTTTGTATGGAAATGATTTTTCTGGAAAATCTTGACAAATTCTTCTTCGTATGGACGATGTACCCTGCAAAGTTTGCACTAAATGCAATGAAAGCGATCCACAGCATTTTTGAAAAGCTGCTGTGATTTGTTATAAATTCAAATAAATGCTGATTTGCAAAAATATACCCATGATAAAATCTATAAGTTTTTAAAATATAAAAAGGATCAGAGATTTTTTTTTTTTTTCGTAGCATCTATTTTTCTTATAGTTTTGAGGTTTACTGAATGAAAATCATAAAAGATGTTGGGAAATATTTGCTGTTTTTTTTTTTTTTTTGTTGTTGTTGTTTTTTTTTTTTGTTTTTTTTTTGTTTTTTTTGTTTTTTTTTGTTTTTTTTTTCTTGATAGATTTAGATGGGATTTTTGTTTGACAGTTAAAATGGTCCATAGTATCGATTAACATGACAAGAAAATTTGTTTGTTTGTTTGTTTAACGTCCCTTCCAGAATTTTTCATCTATATTGAGACGCCATTACTTGCCGATGGAGAGCTGCAAATTTAGACTTGTTCTCGGCACTAACGGCCTTTGAGCAGTGAAAAAAAAAATCGGAATTCAAGTATGAAAAGTTCATATGTATTTTTTCAAACTGAGCAAAGTTTGGCACAATTCAAATATTAAAGTAAAATAGAGCATATAACAGTATGTGCATGTAGTTAATAAATGCAACACAAAATTTTAGGTTTAGCTGCCATTTTTCAGTCTATATCAAGAACTGACGTTGCATACAACAAATGGATCACGTATTATATGTGTCACCGAGTTGTTGCTCTTCTAATGATGGTTCCATCTTAATAAAACAATGATCTGTAGTTTCATCCTTTAAAGGTGTGTTTTCAATGTTTGTATTGATATTTTCGACAAGGTTGATTTCTGAAAGAAAAATACAGTATTAGTTAAATACATGAATATCTTTCAAAGAGACAACAACAAAAAACAGCAAAAAAAAAAAAAAAAAAAAAAATCAGATGCAAATGTTAATGTTATACAAAGAGTAATAATTAAAAATCATACGTTTTTGTCTTGTCCGAAACCTGCAAATCCGGGACATCATATCTGTAAAGACACAAATTTAAGCTGACTTAAAACAAACGTATTTCTATTTTTTTTTCAAACAGTCCAGTTTTTCAAAATGAATGTATTTTAAGAAATTAAAGCAGTATATACCTTCTATAAAGGAACATTCTTTCCGTGAACGATATACAACACATATAAGAATAACAACTATTAGACTGGCAATTCCAACACAGATTGGGATTCTACGAGGAAAAAATATAGAAATTTTTATTCATTTCTTATTTTTAAAAAATATGGTTTGACGTATGTTTTATTTTTTTTAGTTTGAACATAGCAGGTTTCCAATACCTGGATTGTCGTTTAACTAAATAGAAAATAAAAGATCATTACATTATTTTGGTATTTAGATCTGAATCTGAATCCGGGTCAGTTGAAGCTCCTTCCTGTCCGGAGGGTGTTATGAATTCTTTACTGTCTGTTATAGCCGTGATCTTCAAAGTAGACGGAGTTGTAATAACTATTGGTTTGCTTGTTTCACCTGTTTTGTTGACTAAATCATAGCACTCAGTATCTACAAACGGAGGAGAAATAGCAAATATTTTACTTTACACTAAAACGTCATCTATTTATCTTATGTACAGATATGGAATTTCGCAAGTGAAAAAAGATACAAGAAATATGTTAAGAATTAGAACTGAAATGTTTGACTCGTCTTTTCATATTGCATTCTATAAAATGTAAAAAAAAAAAAAAAAATGATGTTCCATCACAAATGTTCTCAAAATTCAAACTACTTCGTACATTTATAGCTCTCGTTAGAGAAAAAAAATGCTGGACATTCTTGGCATCCTGCGTATCCGTTACGCTGTATTCTTGATCCACCAAAACTGTACTCTGCGCATACATTTCCTGATAAAAGTTATGTTACAATAGATTAAAACATGCGTTATAAAAATGAAATAAGACGCAAACCTTATTTAATATTAATTGACAAAATCAGCTGACATCATGATGCTTCCCTTACCAACGATGGTTTGAATTGGTGCACACACTTCTATTGTTTCATTTTTCCATGCATTTAGTACACAGTGGTATTCAAATGAAGAACAAGAGTGGCTGATGTTTTGGCAGCCTTTCCTGGATGCTGCCTCTTCCCATTCCTGTTCTGATCGTGGACAGGATTCTACACGTTTTGCAGTTTCTTTTGATTCTTTACATCCTTTAGATGCATCAGATAAATCTGCATGTGTCTAAAAACAGTGGATGAAATGATATTGAATTAATCCCTCTGGCTTAAAATACTTAGTATTTAAATATTACTAATTGCAAACGGAAACGATTACTTTGCTAGTTGTACAAAACAAGTATACCAATCTAGATTTTTTTCACGAGAAGCTACATTTAAATACATGTGCATATCATTTAAACGCTCGTAGTCTTACCGGTGATGCAGAGTGCAATACAATACAAATGGTAAGGAATAATCTGAGCTGTAATTCCATTGTTTTCATTGCAAGGAAAAATACCTGTAAAAAATAAATAATTATTGCAAAATTCTAAATGAATAAAAAACAGAGTAAGTGTTGATTATTTTTTGATAGATAAGCATTCTGTGAACAGTTGAATTCAACCTTACTATGTATTCACCAAGTGTATCCCGACAAAAACTGCGGTTTTGTGGTAAGGTTGATCTCATACGACTGACTGAATCTTGCAGAGAATGATATATAAACCAAGTACATGTATTTCGCAGTGTTTTGTCGGGTATTTCCATTATCTCACCGCTTAAAAATAAATTCAGTCTAGCTACCTGTATATAAGACAAAAGGATGAGACTGTACCTTTAAATACTGTAAAATACAAATTCTGTTCAAAAGTGTATCTACCTCGGCATGTATTTATGTCATCTAACAGAGTGATTCGTGTTAAGTTTTTACATGCACATTGACAAACACCTGCACTGTTAAATGTAGGAAAAAGGCATTTATTTCATTTATTTGTAATATGAAAAACCATAAGAAAAGAATTACATTCATTTTTACATTTAATTGGGTGGCATGTGCAATTGCAAGTCGACTTCTTTTCTTTTATCATTGATGTTTTTTTTTTTTACTATTTCTTTCATTCTTACTTCCTCTCTTTTTTATTGCAAATAGTGTACATGGCGGAACACATGGAGATTGGTGAAATATTTTGCTTTTGTACATTCTGTTAAAAAAAAAATAGAGAGTATAGTCAAAGAAATCTTTATTTTATTTGAGGCAAAGTTTAGATATTCTTAAATATTTTAATGTGGATCGTTACAGATAATGATTCTCTTGCACAATATAAAAAAGTCAATATTCAGTCTTCTGAATGAGTTATAACAAAAGAGATATCTTTTTTGTAGAGACCTCATGTGAGTCACATGAACTCTTTTCTTTTTGAAGATAATATTTGACGTAAATACTTTTTTTTTAAATATACCAAATCTGGGTCAGTCAAAACTAGATTTTGTTATGTCTGACTCATCAGATGATTCGATTGCATGGGAAATATTGTACGTACACTGATATGGTCACCCATCTAAGGGCGATACTAAAGGTTCGCAACAGCTTAACTTACTTAAATGTATGGAGACTCTAAGGCATCATTGGAAAGCTACATATAGCTCACTAATGAGGCAGCATATGTCTGCTTCACTATACTATCGATCAGAGTTGTTCAGATCTGCATGTTTTCTTCTGACAATATAAAAAATTGACCAATGCATGGTTGCTAAAGAACCGTTTGTATAAGACAAATGAATAATTATCGTCTTTTTAACGTACAAATTAGATTTCAAACATTCTGTGCAAATGTTTATCCAAGCGAATGATTTTTTATTTATAGAAAAAAAAGTTATATACCCTGACATAAGTGCTAAGTCTATGCATGTAAATCTTCTGAACCTTTACAATTTAGCCGAAAGACAAGAATATTTTGTTAAGTTTTACTTTGTTTGACCTTGTTTTTGAGCAAAGAAATGCATTGGTTTTGGATATTGTTGTATCGGTATTTATCTCTTTCTATCAATCTACATATTTAAACTTTATCAAGCTCTAGCCCTGAACAAAAATAAGCCATTTACACGTATCCTTGTCTAGGCTCCAAAATTGTCTTGACGAGTTTAAAAAAAACTGCACTTAGCACTTTAAATTAAATTAATATGAACCATCATGAACGGCCCAGACTGTACCATCGGTGATTTAAATTAGTATTACTTGCAAATAACGTTAAATACAAAGGTTGAGAGGGAAGTTCGATAACTTCAAAAATGTTTTATGGATAATTCTTCATTTTTAATGTTAATCCTGATTTTTTTTTTTTTTTTTTTTTTTTTTTTTTTTTTTTTTTTTTTTTTTTTTTTTTTTACTGAATAACATGCATGAACAAAAACATTTTCATAGGCACCCATTTAAGACACTTAAGTTTTATTTCCAAATCACAAACCTACATTTAACGAATTTAGTAACTAGAATTAAATTTTTTTTTAAGGTAACAATTTACTCATATATACTGTCAAAGATAATATAACTGTATAAAATAAGAAAATTATAGTCGAATGGTGCATGAGATTAGGAGAACATGACTGTGTAATCATGAGCAATTCAAACATTAAATATTGAGAGCAAAGAAAACATGGAACCCTGGAAACATCAGTGATAGAATCAGATTTCATGTAGGAGTCGGCATCTCCTGCCGACCGCTCCCATCGGCCGTGAGCACTTTTTCGTCATGGGAAACATTCGTAGACAAACTCAGATTTAAAAATGGCTTAAAAATCTGCATAAAACGTCAGTAAACGTTCGACTTAATGACGGTTTGTCTTTTCAAATAAGTTCATTGTATCAACCATAGATTTTACAAATTCTTGACTTAGAAAGAACGAGACTATCGATGCCCATGTTTCTTCGATTTGTTTGTTCGTAACATGCTTTGCAATTTTAAACTGCTTATGAATAGAAAATAATTTTGCTTAATGTATCAACTACGAAACATAACCCATTCCATTTTACAGAAGTTGGATTGAATTCTACGAGTGGAAATCAAATTTGTACCCACATTTCCCTTTCAAAATATGACATTCTAGGAAATCAGGTCACTTTCAAATAAAAAAAAATAATAAATTCAAATTACAATATCTTAGCGGGATTCTAAAAGTTCATAAAAATTTCATTTAAAAATCATTTGATATTCTTTACGTATCTTGTCCAACCCATAGCAATTATTCGACAATAAATACAATCATGCAATTATGGTATTCAATGTATAACAAGCAATGTTGAAAAATAAAATAGTTATGTATGTTTTCTTATTTCTCAGTTTTTGGAGGCTTTTATTCGTAAGTTACATAAAGTTTGGACCATACATATTTGAAAAATGTAGGATTTTCAATTCATACTTCCGCTGTTGGAAAGAGTGAAGGGGGTGTTATACTATAAGAAAAATTCTGTTACTTATTCTCACTTTCAGACTGTAATTTTACTTTAGATTAACACTTATGACATTTTTAACAATGTCTTTGGTCTTTTAACCTTGTGAAAAAAGTATATTTTGTACATGAAAACATGGGAGACTAAAAATTTATAATCTTGTCTCTATGTTAGCTGAAAAAAAATTTTTTTGTTCCTCATATGTACAGAGTAATGTAAATTAAATTCATGAAAATAAAATCAGTTAAAAATAAATATTTATTATAATATTCCCCTCCCCATCTAATTTTTTTTTTCTCTAGAGAACGAATATATGTAATTTTTTTTTTTATAAAGAAAATGTTTACCCAAAAATCAAATGTTTGTTAACCACTATAGTTTACTACAGGTAACTATAGTTAATCAATGTTCCAAAGTTTTTTTACAATACCTAATCGAAGTTTTAAACTTTTAACTATAGTAAACGAAAGTTCCAATGTTTTTACTATAATAAATCAAAGTTTTGATGTGTCTTTGTTTTACATATTAGAGGTGATTGATCTTTTGTTGTATTACTGGTTGATGCACATATTGATTGTGCTACAGTATCAAATTTTCAATATGTTTTTTTTTTTTCTTAAAATGTACAATTTTGAGTAGGTTGTCTTAATTCAAAACAATCTTTTGAGATGTTTCTTTACATATCTTGTAAAACTTTTTTTAAAAACATTATAATACCAAAAACAGACATTGTCATCAAGATGGGCATGTAATTTTGTTTCGGTCGATGTCGAGAATGGTTTGTAAATTGATTGCAGCGCCCTATCCCTCAAATGCAGCGTTCAAAATCTACAGAATGCCCTAAATTCTAATGAATCTGGTTAATATAGGAAATTTACGTACATTTAAAAAAAATCAGCCTCGGTTTGGTGCCAAAAATGCCCGAATCGAGAGGGGAGATTCCGAATTACTATCCGACAGCTATGTTTTGACGTTAGCCTCAGCCTTAATACTGTATTGCACTTGCAATAGCGATTTGCAAAGTCAAAGTTCTACCCCCGGTGTGTAGAGTGGAAATATATTCTGTTTGATACCAGAAGATTAGAATTTATATCTTCAGTTTGTGAATCTGCAGTGGGTGCTCTGTTCTTCTCAACAAGTGTATTAAACAAACACTTGCCTCAAATCCATTTGTACTTGAACTGTTACCAGACGGGTTAGATCATGCAGAACATCATTTTAAGGATTTAAAGATAACAAAATGATGGAATATATAAGATTCAATTGCAAATATATACTTTTTGAAAACAAAAAAAGTTCAGAGCATTATATTCACATTTGTGAATATGTTTCCTTAAGATTCTTTGCAAATTAGAAAAAGTTCATGTTCTCCTGAAGTACTGTTGGATGAGTAAGAATATTTCAATTATAATGTGATTGAATGAAAAAATAGTGCAATTTTTTTTTTCAATAATAATCGTAGAATGATAAAATATGTGACAAGTCATCAGAAAAATAATGTAAGTATAAGATATTTATTAAATTTTTGAGAATCCATGAGCTACATGAACTACAACGAATCACGCCTGCATGTTTATCATGAAGCACTAACGCGCTTCGTGAAATATGCCGGCTTAAAGCGCCGTTGTTTATGTCCTAATGAATTCTCAAAAATTAAATTCACCTCTTAAGTGTATTTTGTAAAAAAAGGAGACCTCATTCGAATTGTAGACAGAATCAGCAATATGTAAGAGGGAAATACAGATACCTGAAATCTCACATGCAGGGCTGTCCATGAGCCGTTTTATCTTGGTGTCAGTTTCTTTTCTCTAGTTTAGTTGTATTGGGGTGGGGGTATATGTCGTAACTTGCAATGTTTTTATGTGTGTTTAGGTCGAATTTAGATCATATTTTTTAAAGTATGTACATAAATATCTATCAAAAACTAGAGTGTTCCAAGGAACGCATGTGTCACCTGCTTTGAGGCTTCATGAAAGATGTAAATGAATCTAAGTGTACTTAGCTATTTATTTACTACTAGCATGACGATTGCTATACCAAGGACTGAAATTCTTTAAATGTACAAATAAGTACCTATTCTGTATCCTTCCATAGGTCAGAAAGCTAAAAGGAATACCAAGGATTCATTTCCTTTAATTCACAAATTTGCAAATATATATCAGGTAGACAGAAAAAAATTGAAAGAATGTCCCAGGTCATCAGTAAGGCAGTGATCGGAATACCAGAGCTGATTGTTTAAATTATACAGATATC